GAGGGGGGGAGAGGGTAACGTGGGACAAGGACACATATGTAATATCTTAATCAATAAAAAATATATTTAAAAAAAATTTAAGGTTCAATGCTCCCAAATGTCAGCTTGTAACTTTATGAAATGAATATATTGGTTAAATTAGCTATGCCTAGTACTGTTATTATTAATTAGTTAGGCTGGTCTAACAATTTGTAAAATATTTTTAAGGCTTTTAAAATAAAGAAATCCTATGCAGGCTCACTGCAGATTTCTTTGTGATGAAAGTTCAGGATGACTCTTGTAAAATGCACAACAGTGGAAAGTCAGCCAATATGAATGATGTTTGGAGACATCTTGCCTTTGGTGGCAAATATGGCTGACCCCATCAAAAGCTAAGGAGATGGAACAGGTTTGAGTAATGTGGAACTCATGACTCACAAAAATATACATCGTTATTTTGGTTCAGAAGCACAGAAACTTTGCAGCTTGTCACTTAATTTCTTTGGTCTATAATTCCTTGAACAGAACATAAGGATGTTGGACTACATGATTTCTAACATTGTTTTAAAAGATTAACTTCTTTGATTTTAAAATCACAGTGGTTGCCAAAATGGAATACATTTTAGAGACTGTCTAATGCTTTTTGCTTAAAGATGTGAGTACTTATAAATTGATGGGAATAAAGAATGAATGTCACAAATTGTATGATCTCAGTATTCCCCAGAAAATAAATAAAAACAAAATAAAAATCACAATGGTATCTTGGGATTTCATTCCTTTATTTGTTAATTGGGAAAGTGTGGCTGATGACATCTGACATCCTTCCATTTCTAACAATTCTACCTTTTTAAATCTATTTTTTAGTAGCTTCTTTCCTAGGATATGTTCCCATAGATATGAGTCAGAAAGTCTCAAAGCTCATTCTGGTCTAGAGTCAGGCCTACGTGAGAATTATTTTATGTGAAAATTAACCCTGTTTGCATAAAATAAATCATTTCTTAAAGTAGTCAGCTGGAATTTCAATACCAAGTTCTAACTGAATCATAATTGATCATGAAGTAAACACCATCACCTCCACTGGTGTCTAACAGGAGTTAATCTAAAAGCATAGGAGAGAAGCATTTACTAAGCAAGATCTGAGGAATTTCCATGTACCTGATACTATGCAAATCAATAAATTCTATTGGAGATGAATAGAAATTGGTGGAGATGAATAGAAATTCAGTGCTCTAATATTTTATATTTGGTATCCTATTTTGGTGTTTTGTTGTAAGGTAACAACTTTTGCAAGATTTCTAACTTTAAGGGGAACTGACTTAAAGTGTATTTGTGTTTTAGGGCCAATGATATTGAAATAGGGGCTGACAAAGACTGAGGAATTCTCAGATTTTCAAAACTAAAAATAAATCACATTAAGTACATGTATTTCTCAGGGTAAAACTATATGGGATCCCTAGATTCCAGTACAACATGTAAAAATATGGTCTTAAGAAAATATCTAATCATTCAACATCAATTGGCCTATCATCCAACGTAAAGAATCTGTCACCCCCCAGCCTAAAGGGCATGCAAAGTATGTCACAAAGCACAGAGCTTGGAGGGAAGTTACTACCTTGGGGGAAGCATATAGAGTTTTAAAAGTCCATTATATCTCTAGCAGAGGGAAGGAAAAACAACGCCAAAGACAAAGCAAAAGTAAGCAAACTAATGAATCCATAGCTAACAAAATCAGGGCAACACACTATAATGAAAATGAAGGAATCCTCAACCCAAATATACAGCATTTCAAAAGGTTACTAGGTGAATTTTGTTTGGTTTTGGTTTGTATTCTAGTTTAGTTTTTCGCCTTCCTCTGAAGCATCAGGGATTGGAGGCAGGACGCCGGTTACAGGAACTGGTGGACCAATGGTCTGATTCAGTATGGCAAGTCCTATGTTCCTATAATAGAGGGGAAATTACAGCATATCACTTTGTATGCACACAGATCCAGGCACACATGCACTCTCTCTCTCAAGGGGTCTGAATTTTTATCAATAAAAGGTATTTAGCAAAGATAAAGTTTTATACCAAATCCAAGAAAGTATGGAAAATCCAACAGCAGTGATAAATTAATGTGATAATTACATGAGATACCTGTCACCTAAAAGGTGCACAATATCTTTACCATCTTCCTCTGCTTTCACTTATGCCAACCATGGAAAAGGAAGAATGGTGACAAAATAAAACTACAGTTGGCATGTCTAAATTCTATTTGTAACAAAATAAATGAGAATTTAGCAATTTTTCTAAACTAGAAAGCTAGAGGAATTAGAGAAAGAACAACAGGAAATTCTAGCAGTCATGTTTATGTATTTTTCCTATTATGCAGCAGAAAGTTCATTGAAAGCACATATTGTTGATATTCATATTTGTATCTATAACAAAAGTGTATATACAATGTCTTGCCAATAAACATCCACTGATGAATGAAGTAAATTCTTCTTCTAATGAAGCTTCATGATGGAAAATTTAAATGTACTAAATCTATACTTAATGTACTCAAAATAGAGTAAAATTTAGGGTTTTCTTTATATTTGCAAAATATACCAGCAATAAAAGTGTTTTATGTCAGTTGCTATTTTAATCAAAACAGCTTGCTGTATTTTAAATTTGAAAACTCCCAAGGTAATACCAAGATGAGCAACTCAGTACATCCAACCAGTCCTGTGGCAAAATAAGTCTTTATTAACTGGGTCTGTTAGTAGAAGCTATACTGCTACAGAGTAAGTGCACAAAACCTCATTACCCACTGTGGGCCTTGCATACAGCACGGTGTTAAATGTAAACAATGGATGCAAAAACCTTGTTTCAGAATATTAAAATGAAGGCTTTGAAAAAGTAGAGATGCAAGAAAAAAATGGTACTCTCCGATTAAGTGTAAACCAAATAAATGTGAATATTTTATATACACATACGTATTTTTCCTCTCACTCCGAACAGCACTGCTGCGAAGCCTCCTTGCCATAATCACTAAATTTTGACCTTTTTAAAAATACGGCTTCATTTATTATCTCAAACAAGCTAAAAACACCTTGATCACTGGGAAACATTTCCATGGGATCCCTTTATTCTTCTTCCCACATCACAGGATCTAAAAGTCACGTTAAAAAAGCAATGTATTGATTTACCCTCTTCACATGAACACTTCCTGAGTGGTTATAATGAACCTTCCCTTTTCCTCTTGAAAACATGGCCCTCTTTTACATTAATATTACATTAATAACCTCTGTGTGAACCAGTTAAAGCATAAAAATAAGATGTGATAAACAGCTTTACCTGACTCACCCATTATCCTACTGAGTGCAGCATTTCTTGTGGGGGATTCATCGAGCCTCTCAATCCCACTGTAGAGGGAATGGGAAATTCTTCGTTCTCTGTCATCCAACACAGTTTCAATGGGCAGCTCAGGTGCTGAGGGGCTCCCAGGTGACTTCAGCTGTAGAGAAAGGGGAGAGGGGAGAGTCAGGACTAGAGGCCTGTTAGTAGCATGGGGATATTATAACAACTTGCCCAAGGCTTGCATCCAACGGGGTACCAAATAAACTATAACTTTTCACCATATACCATAATAATTTGTGATGGCAGCTCTGCCTAATGACCAACTTTCTGGGCCACTTTACACTGTGCCTCCTATTAAGTTCTGTCAGATTTCAACCACTAGAGGAAAAATATGTATGTTAAAAGCTTTTTAAAAAGAACTTGTCTTATTGCTTATGTTTTTCAGTTTGACTGTTAGTATCTATTTGAAGTCAATTTGTAAAGATTTAATTTGAAGTTTTTCATAAGATGTTGCTTTGCACAAGGTATGCAATATCAGAATAGAAGCTGGAAATTAAACTATACTTTTACACTTAACAGTCTGTGTGTAAGCTGGTAGAATTACTACTCATGCTATAAGACTTAAAGACCACTTGTCAGCTCATGCGTCTTGAACAATACACTGAGCCTAAATTTCTTCTGCTAGACGTTAGGAATAATCATCCTATTCTCTGATTGTAATCTTAAGCATGAGACAGTGAATAACTGAGAAAAGCACTTTAATAGTATACAAATAATATTCTAACGAAACAGGCAAAGATGTGTATTTCACAAACATATACAATGTCCTAAATAAGCAAAACATGAGTCAATTTCTATCACTATGAATGAAATTACATATGGCATTCTTTAAAACAGCAGTGCCTTGTAAGTCATATTCCCCATAAAGATAATATGAATAAAAAACCTATGTTAGTAAGGCCTTGAAACAAATCTGCTTCAAGGAGGAACAAAGCACACTTAACAACACTCCTCCCAATGTGGGCTCTGAGGTTCACCCAGGGACCAATATTTTAGGACGTTTGGGTGCTGGCTGCAGCCAGAGGCAGAGAGTGCTTGGGAGGCAGGGCAGCCCAGCATAACACAGCAAAGCTGGAAGGAGACTGTATTTTCCAAACAGATGAAACCCCACTGTGGCAGTTCCGCTGCCTGAACAAATTATGATTTCTATAAGAAGATACCATCTGTTTAATATAAATGAGATATTTAATGAAGTTCCGAATTGTAGACTTATCTCTCCCAGTCGGATAAGCAGTGGGGAGATTTAATGCATTGAAGGGTCAATACAATTACAATTGAGGCACGTCAAACTGCAGGAGAAAAATAAACTCACAGCGCCAGTGAATTAGACTCAATAAGGTTTAAATTGTGAAATGAGCATTTGTTTCATTAGGGTTTTTTTTTAAGTTGCAGATTACAACTGACAGCTTTTCTGAAAAGTAAATGAAACATTCAAGGTCTCTGATGTATAAGAATAAAAGAATATTTTCTGAAAGAATAATAAGGCTAAACTCCAAGGTATTTTGGGGACATAAAAACAAAAGCAAACGAAACAAATACCGGACATCTTTAAGAACAAGTACATTTGAATTTTTAAAATGAACACATACCTTAAAGAGACTTGCTATACAATAGGTGCTCTACACACAAGACCCACTTGCTATGCAACCATTTATTTCATCATAAGACATCCTCAAGTTTGCTTAACAAGAATGTTTGATTAAACTATATAACTGCAGTTTTTTAGATGATAAAATCTTTATAAAGCTCTTATGAGAAAGTCGTAAATATACCAAGAGTCTACTTTAGAATTTTACAAAGTCAAATACAAATTAGATTAAAAAAACTGTCCATGCAGGCTTTTTGAGAAAAACAGTAAAATGCCTGCTCAGATAGAACTTCCAACTTGACCACTTTCCTAGGAAAGAGTACACACCTCCCCTGCCTCACTAACCATATCTAATTTGCATCTCAAAAGACAGATTTAAATGGAGAAATCAATGAACTACTATATCAATATTTAACAGAAGATACAATGCCTTTTTATTTCAAAAAAAAATACAAAAAACACAAAACAAAACCTGATTTCAAATCTTTTGATGATTTGTGTGAGCGTACTGGAAAACAAGCTTAAAAACAAGAAGTGTGGCACTCAGCTCACAGGGGAGGAAGCAGAGCCAGGTGGCCCTGGGAGAGCAGTCCAGGCCTTTCTACAATTCAGGCTGCTCCCAGGACCTCTCAGACTCCTTATATTAAAACTTTATCAAAATTAAGCTTAATTAGAAAAAAAGAGAAATGAACTGCGATTTTCACTTTTTTCTTTGTTGTTTAAAGTGCAAAAGTGTTACTCAACCCAGCTTCATTCAGTACAGAGCTCTATCCCTACAAATGGGAAAGCTCGACACCTGCTGAAGACAAATAAGCTCCAGGTTGAAGCAAGATTAACATAACATGTAGCAGTGTAAAGTGATGCTGTCTTTTCCTAAAGTAATGTGGAAATGTATATCACGGTTCAAAACATACCTTATACGTTTGACCAGGCCAGTTATTTCACTTTGTTTTCACAATCCTTATGAAATAATAAGCAAAGTGAATAATACAGATTCAAGGGAATCAATATTTCTCAGAACTTTATTTACAAAGGTATAAAAACTGGGAATGATCTCAAAATCTAAAAATAATATAAGTAATATGCTCCTTAAAAAGATATTCAAATGATCATATATTGCTTTTATAATCAGAAAATAACAAATGATATTTAATAACAAAAAGCTGGATATTGTCCAATAAATATGCTTTTCTTTTTCTTGGTGCCCTTGACCAGAATCGAACCTGGGACCCTACAGTCCACAAGCCAATGCTCTATCCACTGAGCCAAACCAGTCAGGGCAAATATGCTTTTCATTATATACTTGGCCTTCTCTTATTAGGAAAAGTTAAAATCTTGGTTTCTTATATAAAACCAATACAATTTCTGTGGGGCTTAGTAAAATTTCATGTTGTTTAAAGTATGCATTAGCAGGTTGAATGATGTCTTTCACATTTAAAAAATGTATCCCACTATCTTGACTATGAACACTGAAAAGCTGGTATAGATATGGCCCTCACCCCTTTCCACAAATTTAGAAGTGGGTCCTACTTAGTACTTGGAATGATCTCATTATTCGATATTTCAGTCATCATGGAGTTGACCTGTTATCCCCAATGCCTGGCACAGAACACACACTGATTGAATAATGAGATGAATAAAGTTAATCCGAAGTCAATGACTCAGAAACTCCTTAAAATGGTTAATAGAGATCTTACATACACTAGGCCACAAAGAAGTAGGCCTTTAAATTTGATGGAATTCTTTTAATTTGAAATTAAAAGAAACTGACTTAGATTTCAATTATACATTGAGAAAATACTCACATCCAAAGGATACGTGAACAGAAAAAGATAGACAGGGTTTAGCTTTGGAGGACAGTGGCAGGACATTTAGGATCCAGATTCAGGTTCTGCTTTCATGCAGGACCAAACGTAATTTCCTTTTAATCCACATGTGGACAACAGCAAGGATCAGAGAGGCGAAGGAATCTCCCCAAGTTATTCTACCAGTATGTGGCAGACCCAGAGTGTAACTGACTCTGTGTGATAATATAGTCTGTGGTTGATGTGGCACAGTGGGTTGAGTGTTGTCCCATATACCAAGAGGATATCAGCTTGATTCCTGGTTGGGGCACACTCCCAAGTTGCAGACTCAATCTCCAGGAGAGGTATGCAGGGGATGTTTCTGTCTTCTCTCTTCTCTCTTCTCTCTCTCTCTCTCTCTCTCTCTCCCCCTTCACCCTCTCCCTCTAAAATCAATAAAAACATAAATAAAGTCTGTGCTTTCATTGTACACTACATCCCAATACAATCAGAATACAAATTGTCTGAACAACACATTCATAGTCAATTAGACCCACTCACATGCATAAGAGGAAGGAACACTAAATTACTTCATCAGTACTTTGGCCTTACAGCTATTAAATAAATAGTTTGACCTCTCCAGATTTATTCCTTAATACATAAAATGAACAGAATCATAAGTGATGTCTTACACCACTTTCCATTTTAATATACACTAAGTGGCCAGATTATTATGACCACCTGACCTTTGTAGGCAAATTAGCTATAATTTCACACTGAAGTTACTAGAGGGCCAGACCATTATAAATAGGGAAGCAGGTTGTTTACTACAATAGTAGAAGTGATTTTTTTCTGAAGATCTGGGTAAACTATGCGATTTAACAGCCTATGAACGTGATATATATAAAAAATATATACACTAATGAAAGACAAACATGTAAATTGACCGTACCTTGGCTAGGCCTTAAGCCACACCCCCAGCCAATCAGAGCGACTATATACAAAGTAATCCAACCAAGATGGCGGCCGGCAGCCACAGAGCTGGAGCCAGCAGGAGGCTTAGTTGCTCCAGTGATGGAGGAAGCCAAGCTTCCCACAGCCAGCTGTAGCCTCTGCAAAAGGCTACAAAGTTTCAGCTGCAGGAGGTAAATAAATCCCAGAATAAAGAAAAAAAGAAAAAAAGGAGAGGCTGGGAGCTTCCGTCACCAGGGGGTTTGGCCAGCCTGAAAATGGCCCTCAGCCCCTCACCCGGACTAGCCAGGCACCCCAGTGGGGACCCCCCACCCTAAAGGGGGTGTGGCCAGCCTAAAAACAGCCATCAGCCCCTCACTCAGGCTGGCCAAACCTCCATGGGGTGAGGGTCCCCATTTGGGGGGGGTGGGCAGGGAGCTTTACCAGCCTGCAAACAGCCATCAGCCCCTCACTCAGTTGGCCAGGCACCACAGAGGTTACCCCCACCCTGAGGGGGGTGTGACCAGCTGCAAACAGCTATCAGCCCCTCACCCAGGCTGGCCAGACACCCCATTAGGGACCCCCATGCTGAAGTGGGTGTGACCAGCCTGCAAACACCCATCAGCCCCTCACCCAGACTGGCCAGGCACCCCAGCGGGACCTCCAACCTGATCCAGGACATCCTTCAGGGCAAACCAGTCGGCCCCCACCCGTGCACCAGGCCTCTATCCTATATAATAAAAGAGTACTATGCAAATTGATCCTAACAGCAGA